TGGGTATCCCTAACGTTCTGTACCACGGCGTTGAGGGTGATTTCAATGTGATGGTGATTGACCTTCTGGGGCCCTCATTGGAGGACCTTTTTGTCTTCTGTGATCGGAGGTTTACGCTCAAGACAACACTGATGCTGGCGGAGCAGATGATTTCGCGCATTGAGTTTGTCCACAGTAAGAGTGTCATCCATCGCGATATCAAGCCTGACAACTTTCTCGTTGGTGCTGGTAAGAGGGCGCACCATGTCTATATCATTGACTTCGGCCTCGCCAAGAAGTACCGTGATGCCCGCACACATCAACACATCCCATACAAGGAGGGCAAGAGCCTGACGGGGACGGCACGTTACTGTTCCATCAATACGCACATCGGCATCGAGCAGAGCCGCCGCGACGACCTCGAGGGGATCGGGTACATCTTATTGTACTTCCTGCGCGGCTCACTGCCGTGGCAGGGCCTCAAGGCGCACACGAAGCAAGAAAAATACGCACGCATCTCTGAGAGGAAGCAGACAACATCCGTAGAGACACTCTGTAAGGGCCTCCCAATGGAGTTCGCCGCGTACCTCAACTACACCCGTGGTCTGGGTTTTGAAGAGAAGCCAGATTATACCTTTGTTAAGCGGATTTTCCGCGAGTTGTTTGTTCGTGAGGGGTGCCATGTGGACTATGTCTTTGACTGGACTCTGAAGCGCATCCACGACAGCCTACAGGAGGGTAAGTCTGAGCAGCAAAAACAACAACAACAGCAGCAGCAGCAGCAGCAAGAACAACGGATCTCCGATCAGGCGTAGATTGTAGATTGAGGTATTTGTCGTACTTAAACGCTTGTGTCAGTTCCTTTGCACTTACGGACGGATTCTTACTGGTGCCTTTCTAAATCAACCGCGCCCGGTGTGCTGTGTCTGGGTGTGGGGGAGAAACCCAAGCACAGGACGCTGGGGTAGCAAGGAATTTTATATGGATTGTGTTATCATTGTTTTTGTTTTCTTTTCTTTACGATCTTTGACGTAGTGTGACGCCGTCATTGACCCCCGCTTCATAGGTACAGCGTGGGGTCCTCCCTTTGTTGCAGCGGTAACCACACGCGGTCACCCCCAACAGCAAGAAGCTTGGCTGCTGGTGAGCTTTGGGGGTGGAGGGTAACTGCTGCCTGGGTCGAACACTGTGCTGGCAAAGAACCGTTCGGATCTCTCTCTCCCCCTCACCTCTCTCTATCCTGTGCGGGGGACAGCTGTGGTTCGTTCTGTTTGGGTGTCTTTCTCTCACACACTGCTTCTGGTTATTCCCTTTCGTTTGTGATTGGTGGGCAGTCACAAGCCTAAAGCTTGAGAGAACACGCCGCGTGTGCAGCACAACAGGAAAGGGGCGAAAAGCACAACCCGCACAAACACAACACACAGCTCGCAATGAGTGCAGATCTTCGTGTAGGCAACCGGTTCCGTATCGATAAGAGACTTGACTCCGGTGAGTTCAGTGAGATCTTCCGTGGCACGAACATACGGACAGGTGATCCGGTGGTTATTAAATTAGAGTCTCTGAAGACGCGTCACCCGCAGCTGGCTTTCGAAGCCGCCTTTTACCGCATCCTCAATGCCAGTACCAACGTTGTGGGTGTTTCCAACATAATGTACTACAGCGTTGAGGGTGATTTCAGTGTGATGGTGATTGACCTTCTGGGGCCCTCACTGGAGGACCTCTTCTGTTACTGTGGCCAGCAATTTTCGCTCAAGACAACACTGATGCTGGCAGGGCAGATGATTGCGCGCATTGAGTTTATCCACAACCAGAGCGTCATCCATCGCAATATCAGACCTGAGCATTTTCTGATGGGTACTGGCAAGAAGGGGCATCACGTCTATATCATTGACTTCGGTGTCGCCAAGAAGTACCGTGATACCCGCACACACCAACACATCCCATACAAGGAGGGCAAGAGCCTGACGGGGACGGAGGACTTCTGCTCCATCAATACGCACATGGGTATCGAGCAGAGCCGCCGTGACGACCTCGAGGGGATCGGGTACATCTTGTTGTACTTCCTGCGGGGCTCACTGCCGTGGCAGGACCTCAAGGCGCACACGAAGCAAGAAAAGTACGCACGCATCTCTGAGAGGAAGCAGTCCACATCCGTAATGGCACTCTGTAAGGGATTCCCAATGGAGTTTGCCACGTACCTCAACTACACCCGTGCTCTCCAGTTTGAGGACACCCCAGACTACGGCTATTTGAGAGGGGTTTTGGGTACTCTGTTTAGCCATTACGAGTTTGAGATGGATTATGTGTTTGATTGGACGTTGCGTCGAAGTAAATCGTTAACTGCAGCACCGCCCAAGAATAAGAAAGATGACGGCTCTAATAAAACGTAGAAACCGAGTCGCGCTCTCCTCACTTTTTTTTTCGAGTGTCCGCATTAAATTATTTGCTTCTCGTGCCCTTCTCCGTAAAGCGTCCACGGTTTGCTGTGTCTGGGTGTGGGGGAGAAGCCCAAGCACAGGACGCTGGGGTCGCACGCAGTCATATATTGTGTTATCATCAAATCTTTTCTCTTAGCTTACTCACTGTGACTCTCTGTGACGCCGTCATTGGCCTCCACTTCATAGGTACAGCGTGGGGTCCTCCCTTTGTTGCAGCGGTAACCACACGCGGTCACCCCCAACAGCAAGAAGCTTGGCTGCTGGTGAGCTTTGGGGGTGGAGGGTAACT